CTGTCAGCTGTTGTAGACGACATAGGAGATTTTGCGTTAAGAGTTATTCCCACCGTCTGTCATGAGTCCGACACTGCACCCTGTGATAGGCAACGATTGTACAATCTGGTAAAGACTACGGAAAGTCAGTCTATACTAAGTATAAAGACCGTGGGATATACACTGCCTGGGTCCGAAACCGTGAAGTTATGATTTTCATGAACTGTATGCATATGCTTTCAGCCCTAATGGGTATACGACGACATATCGATTTCGTGGTTCACAGCATTTGCCTCCAAATTTCTCATCAGATCAGTGTTAGTTACTTCCTCATATTCGAGCCATAGAAACTAGTTCAGACTCTCAAGAGCTGCATTCAGAGCTATGTGTGTAAGCTTCCTGTTGCACAGTCGATTAATGAGGGTCTAATTCATCTTTCGCATTTTTACAGGCAGAAACGACAGCGAAGTGCTCGTGGTTGACTCGAGCAATTCTATATATCATTTGTCCCCGTAGGAACTTAAAGACTGCTCTGTTTTTGGCCCTGTGCTCTTTGTTGTTTACTTTCATCATGTACATTTTCTGTCGAGAGTAACAAGAATCAAAGGCAAAGTAGATGTACGACTAAGGAGACAGAATACTGTCCTGCATTCGGAAACTAATATTTGTCTTGGGCGTATCTCCCTGGAAAAAGCGCAATTTGATATTACAAAACTAGACTAAAACGGGCAGTTTACAACTGGACTTTGCAGAAAAACAAACCATTACCCGAAGAAAATCCTCAGAAGGTGAGTAGAAACAGCTAAGTAAAAAGGATTTATGATTGAGGAACAAGGCTGTGAGTTATTTCGGAGTCACCGTGAATCCGTCATTTTCTGTGCAGTGTGCCAATGTAATTGATGTGAAGTTCTGCCTACCTCTGAACCTTGGCAGCTTTTACCCCTATTAGACTAAGTCAGAAGTCGGTATGCTAAAAGGCTTGTCATTTAAAAGAAAAGATGACAACACCAACGTTGACATTATCAAAAGGAGGCTTGTTAGGCTGAAAGGTAAAGTTTTTGTCAACATACATGCTGATTACAAACTCAAATTCCGTATTACACTAGTGTAATCAGGATAGTAGTTAGTTACAGTAGTAAATAGTTAGTTTATTATTTGTACCCTACTCCTTGTATCTTTTTCTCTATAATACACCCTGGAATTTATCGGTATACGGCTGCGCAGAACTTGCTTCGCTGAGCGAGTATCGGTGACTGAAGCAACATTCCAGGAATTTCGACAATCGCTTAGAAACGGTTTCCAGCTCCCAGTGATTGACCAGTCAAAAGCCGGGAGAACGCCTTTATAAAATAACTGGACAGTATCAAGAAGATATTGCGTTTTGACGAGTGTTTTCTACAACAGATATTCTGTAATGTGCAGTAAACGTTCACTATGTCTTGTTGTGTTATGGCTGATCACAGAAATATGACAACAACAATGACTCGATGATTCAAAAGTATATTTTCAGACTTTAGAGAAAAGGTACTATTGTACGGAACCTACAACGAAGCAACGTACTGTATGATGAAAATTTTGCTTGAATGAGACGTCCATGAGCAATTCATACTTTTCTGAACATCGAAAATGCATCTTCAGAAATGTATTGGAAAACAATGAAATGGTGCTTTGAGCACAGAGATTTGACATGAAGGTAGTTAATACACACTCATGTTTCTAAAGCCAATAGGTGTTGAGAATCGCACGCATTCATAAACTTTCACAGTACTTTCAAATGCATGTATAACAAAATTTATACTGACTCTGGTTTAATTTAGTGGTTAGAGAAATGCGTATCTTCACTTAACTTCATGATATCAGACTTAATGCCCTAATGGCACGTTACATTGAACACATAAGAATGCCATGACATGAAGTTCGACCTATGAAAGTTAACGGATGGATGAGCGATTGAAGCCATTTGAAAGAAATGTCTAAAATTGCTTGTCTTGCTTTAGTGTCATTTAATACCTATTTCTAGACGTTTAATATACATTAAGTGGTACAGGCTGTGATCAAGTAGGCATACATTTCCACTTTCACTGTCATTTTTTAGTTTAAGAACTCCAAACTGGGTGATGCAAACGGATCAGTGTGCTGAATTTGCTGGACCAATGAGCACCTAAAATTCAGCTCAGAGAAGTGCCAATGGCGCACAGAAAGACTGAAAATATTATGGCAATTCTTGGTGTAATTCTTTGGCCAGCATAGTTTCTAAAACTCAGTATATGTCATCCCTGAACTTTATTTTGAGACGGTGGTTTCCAAAACTATCAATTTTGTTCATTAATTAAAATGGCATCAGTAGGCCATGTTTGCTAAAGTACACTGTAAAAAAGGTTTTTAATCCACTGTTTGACAATGTTTGGACAGTTAATCCCAGATTTTGCACAAATATCGGACGCTATTAAAGGCAGAGCCGTGAACACTGAATGATTTGTTAAGGTCAGCAATCATAAAGCGTCTAATGACACAGTCTTCAAACTTCTACTCTATAAGCAACGAATTCAATAGGGGCATGTAATTTTCACATACAAATACCGTAATTCCACCTCTGAAAGAGTGCGTAATGACTCTGATTGACCAAATGATCCCAGAAGCACTTTGCATTACATGTGTGCAAATATCATGGAACCATGACCAGTTTAAATATCCCCTCTCCACTCTCATTCCAAGGCAACTACGAGCAACGGATCAGCGCAATGCATAATAAAATTTGGTCTTAGACGATTTATGGATTACGAAAGATACTCCGGTGAATGAACATATTTTGATTTTACAAGGTAGCACATAGTGAATACCAGGTCCTGAAATATTGTTCATAATGAATGCGATGTTGCAGTAGCGAAATAAATGAAGAGGGATCCATAGAGTTCTGTAGGTGCTTAAATATCATGGAATCGTTTTCTGCTTAAATGCCCCTCATTTGACTCTAAGTAAAGGATTGGTGAAATCCGGCGTTGTATGTATTATGCGTTATCTAACATTCCGCAGCGCACACATTTTTTTGATATTTCTGAATCAGTATGTAAGGCCTACTAGTTCCTGGTGTATCTCTCGTGATGAGTATGATGGAAGCGTTGGCGTCATGATGTGCCTAAATTTCTTCTTAGGCAACGAGGGGCAAGGGAAGGTGCGTTACCCCTCAAAAATGGTTTTGGAAGAGTTATGCACCTGTGACATTGTATCCTCAACTGCTTCTAGAAAACACGTATGATCTATCTTCGAATTAGGAGCATAAAATTGTAACAATACCGCACTGTAACAATACCGAGGTTTCGCTTGTTACTACTTAAGTAAGCTGTCTCTTATTTTAAATCTAAAAGTAAGATTTTTCCATTTCGTGGCTCTTTCAGCCAGATTAGATTTTGTCAGACCAATAACACTGGTTTAAATAGATGCAATCGAGTTTTCAACTGAGTAGAAAGGCTTCCACCCTTAGAGGCTTAGAATTCTACAGCCCTTAAAGTTTGTTGGCGAGAGTCCAACTATTTCGAAGTGGCTCCTCGCGGCTTCATCATGTAGCTGATTCTCTCTGAGTCACAATATTATCCAATTCCGACAGTAAGCTATCACTGTCGGTATCGCTCCCAGTCAATATTATGATGATGGCAACGTGCTGTCGGCCTCCATCTTTCGGAATGGGCAACGGCTCAGCTATTAATTGGTACTTCTGTATTTTTGCCTAAATCTGTGGCAAATGGAGTTGCACTGCTATATTTCCGGCTGCCTCGAAGTTAGGTTTAGTTTAGTTTAAGTGTAGTTAAATTTAAGTAGGTTGTAATCGCTGACTTTTCGCAGTCTGCCTGTTGTTAATTACCGACGACAGCATCAGAGTAGCTTGCTGTATAAAGGTAATAAATGAACGAAAAACGCAAAAATTTTACGGCAAAATTCAAAGGGTGCTCAGCTATTTTCATTCTCATTGGAGCATGGTCCGTCAACGGACTGCGGAGTTGCTTGAGGCATGTTTCAAGGTACGATTTGGTAATAAGTTACCAAGTTTTTTAAAATTTTATAATACTTAATTATCATTAAAGCAATCGTACCCCTTTCACGTTAAAAATACCTGCTGTGAAAAACTGCACAGTGTTTGGCAGTTTTCGCATAGGGTTGGTTTGAAGTATTATTGCGTAAATAGTTACTTATGAATTCATTTTTTTATTTTCATATTTATATATGCAGATCGATTGTGTTTTTGTGTCTCTTGATGAATGTGTGCGTTGATTGCATGAATGATGTTAATTCGTTTTTTGATTGTTCGCTGTTGCTTAAGTTATTGAGTTTACTATTTTGAAAGATGTTGGCTGGTTAATTGCGACCTTTCAAATTTCTTGAGTAATAAGAAAGTTACTTCACTGATTTCAAAATGGTTCAATTCCTCCGTGTAATCTTTCATCATAAAAATCATGTACCAAGAAGAATAATCGTCTGTTTCACAGTTTAAGACAAGGATACGCGGCTAATGTACGTTCTCCGTTTACTGTTTTTAGTTTACATGAAAAATCACGTTCTCTGCTGAATGAAGAAAACTGTTATAGTATAGGAAGCCCTGGTATGATATGTGAAATGCCCCTAGTCTGTGAGGCGATCTCCAGAGGTAATCGCTTAGTTATTGATGACGGTGCAAGTGGTGAGTCAGTCAGTGTCAGAGAATGTTCTCATGAGAGGTACAGCTTCGACACTCCGAATTTTTCCGGTATATGCCGCTCGTTCATAGTTGAAGACGAACGAGTACACTAAGTTATAATCGCGCAAATAGCTTCACACCGTCATCCGTTCATTTCAGCATCAGCTTACATTCTCAAAGATGCAGTAGACTTAAATCGCAGTTACTGAGCTCTTTGGCTGTAGGATGTCTGAACTAATTTTGAGACATCACCTTTCATTTGTTTTGCTGCACTTTAATTGTTCAGTTTACCATATAATGGTAAATTTTTCGCCTTAGATTGCATATTCATATTGCCTACTGTGCCATGAAGATAGACTACTTTCTTGGTCGTTTGCATCTAAGTTCATTTATTTTGTTGCTCTGTTTCTAAGATCTTATTTTGTTTTAAAGATGGCCTTACAACAGGTCATTCTTGTATTCCGACACTTCCTATGCCAAAATCACATATTCAAATATGTGATTAGTCGCTATATAAGTCGCTTGAAATTATTAACCTCTTCCTCTCCTCAGTTTCGCAGAAAACTTTTCAGGGCTGAGCGAAGCTGAAACCGTTTTTATTTTCTGAGTAGTTTTTCATATGCAACCGTAGAAAATAACCTAAATCAATAATTGTTAAGTGTTTACTGTGTGTCCTCTACGGAGTGCTGTGCGCTCGAAGCTCAGCGAATTTCAATTCACAGTATACAAAATACCCTCTCTTGTGAATTGCGCTGTTTATGGTTTGAGAGATAAAAGTTGTGATAATTTCGACACATGATATTGATGCAAGAGGGTAAGCTATTATGAAGAATTGTTTTTGGAAAGTCACCGATAAGCAGCCAATGGGCAGGCCGATAAACGAAAGGTTGTAAAAGCTTGTAGCATTTTCTTGGTTTGATCCAACGCATGAAATAGTTGGTGGAAGACTATTACCCATGATAATCCGAAGCTTCTCCTTTCAGCTCGTAAGAACAGCGTCCTTCAATGTGTATGAATGAGTAAATGACTAGATGAATGACAGAGTAAGTGTCGGAATAAATAAACAAGTGATATGTTAAATAACTGAATGAGTAATTGATTGGAAGCATAACCTGATGCTTCTTGACTCTGAATAACGGGCTTCCAATGATTAACTAGATGAATGGATGATTGATTGATTGATTGAATCACTGAATGAATGACTGGATGAATGATCGAAAAAACGATGTGCGAATACTTTTACCATTATGGCGGCAATTTTTGTAAAATGTCCTTCTTTGAGACTTCAAGTTAATTATTGTTTCGATTTATTTTGTTCTTTTCTTTTATGAAGCTCTTATCTCGTTGAGGCCTTGTAAAATAATTCGTCTTTTGTTAACGTCACCGTCCAGAAATTGAGTATTCGGTACCTAGTGAAAACGGTATGACACACGGCTTATGAAGTTATACAAATGACCTACGGTTTGTTTATGCTCAGAGTCAATTGTTTGGTCAGTTAGATGACTGATCAGTATCAGTCAGTGACTATTCACCAAACTGCGTTTCGTACAAGCAAACCGTGTTTTATGCTATTTATAATGTGCATTTGTTTGGTTTTTGAGAAATGCAACAGAATTTAAGTCATTTAATGCTATGTAATGTAGTAGATTTAGTCGTTTATTTTCATAAACTCTTGTTCCTTCCGGGTTGTGAGTCCAGTAGCTTTTAGTCTTTTCCACTGGTATTGGTCCAATACCGAAAAAAGTCACAGACCCATAGAACTTTTTCGAAAAGTCCTTCATTCACAACTCTAATGTATCCAGATTTATCCCTTGATGAGTACGATGCAATATGGTCATGTTAACTCACCCAACCATGTCATACTTGTAGGTGATTTGCTGTTTGTCTAATATCTGCTATTAATCTGTTGTCTTACGGAAAAAATGTCGATGTTTCATTTGGCAGTGCCGTCAGGGTCATCACTTACTGACAGAAATCTTTTAACTGAGTTAAGACGACATCGAAGCAATTTACTCTTATTAGGTATACATGTATATATAATATATTTATGTCATTGAACTGAATCTATATGAAATACTGAACGCTCGAAAAGTTTCTTTCTATTTTAACGTCCTGTAGTTCTGTTTTTTTACGTTTTCCTGTTGGGATTGATTTAACGACCGAGGAAATAAAACCTCCAATAGTTAAACTGGTTGTACAGCGACGAGTTATACGGTAAATGCGGTTCTTGTTTATAATCGGCGTCATAATTGGTTTTATAGTTTTCTTCTGCTTGTGTCAGGGCTATTGAAACTTCTAACTTATGTCCATTCGAATT